TGGATTGTGTGTTCCACATGGGCATGCAACGAAGGCCCGCCCGGCAAGACTGCCTGCTTCACGATTTGGATCCACTTTTTGGACCGTCTTTCGGGAAGGCAAACCCTCTCTTTGGTACCATAAACTATATCCCGATTGGTAAGCGGGCGGTTCCCAGCACACAGAACCAAATCACCAGCCAGTGCCTGCTGTCTAGTAGCAGCTAGTGTTGGCTAGCTAGCTTGCAGCCATGGCATCATCAAAGAAGGAGTTTGGGTGCCCTTACTGCAATAAAAAATTCAAATCTGTGGATATCAGCAATCTCACATGCAACAGAACAAGCGCTGCCACCAACTGATGCAGAAAGCCCTTGGTTTGGACCTTGCTTTCAATCCTATAGGTGCTAGACAAGCAAGATCAAGGGCCAGAGCTGATCAGCTTGGTCTCACTGACACCGGTCGGCCCGCAAAAGCACCAAGAAAGGCAGCAAGAGGACAAGATCCAGGGCAGCCATTCCACAAGGATTGCAGGACGAGGATGCCCATGCCAGGGCCTCACTCCAAGGTAGTGGTGGTTCCAAAGAAGACACAGACCATCGGAAACCTGCAGCAAATCCTCGAATCGCAACAAAAAGGGTGCCGATGGGGAAGGAAATGGGGAGCTAGATGAGGATTGTGATTTCCCTACCAACATTGATCGTTTCAACGCGGATTCGGATAGTGAGCCTACCAGTGAGGACAGTGAGCTCAGTTGGAAGGGTCAGTTGCCACATTGCAAGGTGACAACAAAGAGGACTTGGTGATACCGGCCCCCCAGACGAAAGCAACATAAACGCATTCAGAGCCTACTGTGTCAGGCAAAGAAATTACCCGAGCTAACCCGATTCGGAGAAGCGAGGGGCAAACTAATGGATATCCTCCGTAGGAAAAGGACACCTCTGGATACCTATGATGATGTACTTGCTTGGCATGCCGATTCCAATCACTGCACGCATTCTTGGAAGAAATTACGTCACGGATCGGGATCGTGCTGGTTGGCGTTTGGTACCTGCACGCATGTCGATTCTAGCACTACCTAAAAATGCGCTTCTTAGATGTAACAGCAACAACATCATTGTCGACCATTCCATCATTGTCGACAACAACAACAACTTACTTAGTGTCGAGCGATCCACAACTTACTTGGAAGTGGAGCCATCCGGTAGCGAAAAATGGGAGGATCAGGTGCGAGCAAAGGATTGGGAGAGCCAAAAAGTATCCGTTGAAACCATTTGAATCGGTTGACACCATTCGAAAAATGTACCGGTAAGATCATGCCGGGTTATGCACTTCATGACGTAAACTCTGTTCTTCAGATATTGAAGATATAGAGGAGAGAGGGGGAAAGACCAGGTCATTGCATTTTCCCCTCTTCTCTTTAAGTAAGTTGCTGGTTTGCGTTGTTCTTTGACTGTCGGTTAGGTGTGACAGGCTCGATGGTTCGGAATATGGAATCCAACGCATAACCCTCTCCCTTTCTTTTTTTCTTTCCCTCCCCCGCGCTGCTGCCTAAACCCCCCATAAAGTCAAAATAGGCCGGGTAGGTGGTGGAGCGCTAGCTGTATCATAGTTGCAGACAGCGGACAGTTGCTTCCCATTCCTCAAGCTACAAAAAGTTGGGTGACGTAGTCGGTGACGTGCTCGAGTCGCAGTCAGAAATATTGCCCTGCCTGAAGAGCATCTTTTTTTCGGGATGTCGCCCAAGAACATATATAATTCTTTATTGCATAAATAAATAATACTCTAATAAGGATTTTCCTTTATTAATATTTTATTAATAGTTCGTACACGTACATAGAACCCCACCTCCTTTCCATTCTGTGCAGTTAATCTTTTTTCGGCATGTCGTCCATGATTGGATGCAAGAGGATCTCCTTTAAATATGGCTTTTCCTTACCGGTAGGAGGAGAACCCACCTCTTTCCAATTCAATTCTGTGCAATTTCGGGTCTCGGGTCATACGACTGTAGTCCTTTGGTCCAGAATGTGGTTACCGGTATATTGTGGAGGTGCGGTAATACAGCAAAAATTTAATTGATATTAAATATTTCGGATATACCTCGCCTACCGGTACTCGTTTGACCAGTTGCCACCAAAAAAACGAACCCCATCAAAGCATGAAAGAACCCAGCCAATCAGAGAGCTACCAGAGTTATCTTGACGGAAACAGTGTGCCAATAGGAAAGGGGATCGAGTTGCTGTTTTTGAGGCCAGCGCTCACTGTTGGAGCTCTGTTGGGTCCTTCTTACTTCTTATCATCACAGATATCTCTGGCTGAATAAATAATCATAGATGCATGTTCAAGTTACTGCAGAGATAATCCGAGAAAACCAGCAAGAAGTAACGTGTGAAAGTGGTTTGCTGTGGTGATGCCACCACAAAAGCCAGGCACCAACACATATCGTACAGCAGCTACAAACACAAAAAGTTCCGATCAACTTCAGCTGATCTGATCAAGCATTCTCCTCGTCGCCTTCATTACAACAATAGCATCATGCTGGCAACACCTCTCCAGCCCATGGCTCCTTCACTCGAGCAGGCGCAATTGCGCTGCGCTGCCCAACCACGAGAGTCAACGAGCGCTTCCGGTTCCATGACATCGGTGGGCTATACTGGCCGCAGCTTGGAGGCTTCTTCGACCCGCACAGCAGCGACAGTGGAGGCATCCAATGAGAGACCATCGCTCTCTCCAACCACAACAGAGAACAAAGCTAGCACCAGAAGTGGTCGGAGTAAGACAAAGTCGTCGTCACGAAGTGGACAACGGAAACACCGCGGTGATCCCAAGTCAAGATCAAGACATGGTGGGATCAAGAAACAGCACAGCTCATCCCGCAGCCTCAGTCCCAAACCAGGAACCCAGAGTTCCTCCAATAACAATCACTCATCACTGTCCAGTTTGTTCGACTGGAATAACTCATCCCTCAGCAGTCAGAACCCAACATCATGCTCACAGTCCGTTTCCACAGAGCGCCTCGGGTTGGGTTCCAGCTGTAGCAGCCAGAGTCAAAGCCTGAGGTCTGTCTCATCCGAGCATCATCGACAGCCAGCCTTGTCAAAGGTCAGGCACAGCTCATCTCGCTGTCTTAGCCCCAAACCAAAGAGGCAGCCGTCTTCCAAGAAGTCTTTGTCCTCGTTGCTAGACTCCAACCCACGGATCCCTGACAAACCTTCATGTTCACGGTCTGTTGCAACGGAGCCACCGCTGCCTCTTTTGGGCTCGGGCAGCTCTCACAGCCATTACAGCCAAAGGTCGGTCTCATCAGAGTATCATCAGCACAAACACTCAGCCTTATCAAAGAGCAAGCACAGCTCATGCCGCAGCCTTGGTCCCAAGAAACCAAAGCCTAAGAAGAAGTCGTCCAAGAAGCAGTCACTGTCCTCTCAATTATCTGAGTTCACTGCTACAGAGCCCCCACTGTTCTTGGGCTCGGGCAGCTCCCAGAGTCACAGTCCACGATCTGTCTCATCCGCGAAGCTTCGACAGACATCCGTATCGCCCCTGGAAGCTTCGCAACGATCCTTTACGGCACGCCGCTTGACGGATCAACTCAAAGCAGCCTATTGTTCCAGATCAAGCGGTTCTAGCAGCCACCATCATGTTAGCCCCATTCCAACCATTCTCTGCTCGGATCGGGCCTACTCCCTGGCGCTTCCAGATCTGCCTTCGCTGCACTCCAGTGAAGGCAAGCCCACCAAGAATAAGTCTTTGGGCGACGACCCAAAGTCCGCCAGAGACAAGTTGCGACAGTGTCGTCAATGTCATGGCAATTCCCAAGTGCAACACTATGATACTAAAACGACGACGGACCGACGAGAACTGCTCACCAAGACATCTTCCGCCCCGACGCTGGGAAAAGCGGCACCCAATGCACGTGACACAACAGCATCCAGCAGCAGCGCGAAGCGTTGTGGCAACGATATAGGTCTAAGTGTGCAATCGGATCACGATCGTAAACCCAGCAGCCACAAGAAAAAGTATCCCTCGTGGATACCCCAATCACTCATGAACGACATGTCTGATTCTGATGACAGCGACTGCAGCTTTTGTCTGCCTTCGAATGATCCTCCGGTTGAGATACCGGAACCTCTGATTGACGTCGAGGACATTGACTTCTCCGACTCGGAAACGGGGTTGGATATGGCCGGTGAAGATTGTTGTCACAACGATGACAACAATCTCATCATCGCCCAGAGTTTCGGTTGGGAGGAACCAACCAAAGCGAGCTCGCAAGACCATGAAAGTGGACAGCAGTACAGTCATCGAAGAAGCTTGTCGGCACCCGAACAGACGATTGCCACGAGCAAGGAAGATCTGCCATGGGACGACAAAGCTGACTATTATAAGGAAACCAATGATTGGGAAGAACATTCTCTTGGCCATTCTCTGACGATGTCGGCGGCGCCCAGAAAGATGGAAGAAAAGGAACATTGCCATGGCGGACACGTTGAGATACCTGAACCTCCGATTGAATTCGAATTCTACAATGTGGAAACCGGGTTGGATATGGCCGGAGAAGATTGTTGTCCTGAGGATGACAACAATCTCATCGCCCAGAGTTTCGGTTGGGAGGAACCAACCAAAGGGAGCTCGCAAGACCATGAAAGCGGACAGCACTACAGTCACCGAAGAAGCGTGTCGGCACCCGAGCAGACAATTGACACGAGAAACGAAAATCTGCCAAGGGACCACGAAACTGACTACCACAAGGAACCCTATGATAGGGATGCAGGTTCTCTTCGCCGTTCTCTGACGATGCCAGCGCCCAAGGAAGAAAACGAACACCATCATGGTGGCCACCTTCACCATCACCACCACAAAAGCCATCACCGTCACCACAAAAAGGAAAAGAAGCATTCCAATAGGCATCGGAAACACAAGCCTTGCCAGCATCGAAATCATTCCTCACATGACAAGAAGGAAAGATCAAGCTGTCACGGGCAGAAAGATGATGGTTTGGAAGCATTCATTGCTGCTGTTGGTGATCCCAATGAGATGGACTTTTGGGACAAAATGGTAACACATTGGGCGAGTCTAGGTTAGGTTTTAAGTTTTTAATTAGCAGAACAGATCCAAGCGAGAATAGCTCGCCGCAATGAATAGAATCTTTCAAAAAACTTCCATCCACCGTCTGAGGCTGCAACGGTGGTACGAGGATACCGGTACCGGTATGATCGAGGGTTTCTCCTGGCGTTGGAATGGTCCGGGTGTTGTCTATCTAAGATACATACTTTAGCCACGAGGGGAGACAACCTAAATGAATAAACAAAATCACTTGAGCCTTGCACCATGGATGGCCTGCTAGCTAGACTTTTTGATGGGAACTAGTTGCCCTCATTCTTGTTGGCTTCTATAAAGAATCCTTCATCGACTCAGTCGTCTCTGTAATAAGCTCCTCCGGTTCCGTCTCTCCCCACTCCTCCCGTTCCATCTCTCCCATGAACTCCACCAATTCCGTCTGCACGGGAACCGACACGGCAGTACTGGTAGTCGAGCTAGCCGCTCGATTGGCAGCCGCTCGTTTGGCGGCAGTAGCTGCCCGTTTTCGTTTCCTCTTTTTCTTTCGGGAAAGCTTTTCTCGTTTCGCAGAGGGTCGGATTTCGCATTTGGCTCGATCAAACCAGCGACTCCATTTGGCTTGATCGGCGTTGTAGCAGAATACTTGGTTGGATTTCGTAACACAATATTCACACGGCCGTAAAAAGTGATCGTTGGTCGCCAGACAGTGTTCTTTGGTAGGATTGTCTTGGTACGCTTCCGAGCAAGTGGTATCGGGGTCGTTCTGCCCTGGCAGCGACACTCGAACGCCGTGGGCTTCCGCAATCCATGTGCCGGCTTTGAGCAGGAAAATGAGAAAGCCGATTCTCCACATGAACAGAGAAAACAGAGTGTACCAAGGAAACTGCGGCAGTACTACGGGTGGTTCGGCGGAAGCTCTTGGTTCTCCGATACGGCGAGGCACAACGTTAGGGTCAAACGGGTTGTTGTTGTTGCTCATGTGCCATTGTGATCATCACCGATCGATTGGATCGCTGTCGCTGCCTTCTTTTGTCATGGTGCCGGCTGGCTTCCGTAGATAATTTCCCTACTCTAAAACCCCCCTTATATTTGTCATGGTGCTGCTGTCCGGATAATTACCTCGCCTTTCCACACAACATTACCCCGCCTGCCTGAATGATTCTTAAGGCCAGGGTTCAATCAAAATGGCGAACGCTTTTATCTCCCTCCGCAAACCCACACCCAAACAATCACCCATACCTGGTAACCACGAAAAGCAAGGCGCTGTCTTCATAATTTGTTTTCTGCATCTTGTGGTTTCATTCAGTGCGGCTACGGCATCGACAATTTTAATTCAAGTATGGGAGGAGCTGTTCAGGTTGTCATTGTAAGGAATATCCTGATACCCTTGTCTCTTTCTCATTATATGCTCTCCGTGTCCTAAATTATTTTCCCTGTACCCATAATTTTGATCACACAGGGCCCTGCTGGATCGGGCAAATCGACGTATTGCCAAATCATGCAAGAGCATTGTGCAACATTATCGGGATCTCGTCGTCGCAATGTTTTGGTGGTCAATCTCGATCCAGCTGCCGAAGCCATGCATTACGATTGCGCCGTTGATGTACGAGACTTGATTTCCGTGGAAGATGTCATGGAGGAATTGGGATTGGGGCCCAATGGAGCACTCATTTATTGCATGGAATATCTCCTTCAGAATCTAGAATGGCTACAGGAACGAATGGAGCCGGCGGGAGAAGGAGACATGCAAGATTATTGGATTGTCGACTGTCCTGGTCAGATCGAGCTGTACACCCACGTTCCGATTATGCGGACCATTCTGGATCGGATGCAGCATCAATGGGGATTCACTCCGGGGTGTATGGTATCTGTGTGTTGCATTGATTCTACATTTTGTTGCGATGCCCAGAAAATGATATCTGGACAATTGTTGGCGCTGTCGACCATGATTGCACTCGAGTTGCCACACATCAATGTCCTCACGAAAGGAGACTTGTTGCCCGAGAGAGATATCGACGCCGTGCTCAATCTACAATCTGCCTCCCAATTGTGGGATTTGGAACAAGATCGAACCAGTTTATTTGCCATGCCACGAGAAATGGCTTCCATCATGACAGAGCTGGAAGATTATGACAGCAACAATCAGAACTTCAACCCCAGCAATAATCCACAAAAGACAGACGAGACGACTCAAGAACAACTGAAGAAACAGCAAAAACTAGAACAGAGACGAAGACAAAGGCATCGATTGACGGAAAATATTTGCGGTCTGCTCGATGATTACACCATGGTCAGCTTTGTACCGCTGAATGTCAATGATGAAGAATCCATTGATCACGTCTTGATTACGGTAGATCATGCTGTTCAGTATGGAGAAGATAATGAAGTAAGAGGCGTCGAAGCCGATGATGACATGCCCGGTGTCAATCCCAATGATGACGACTATGATGGTGGTGGTGATGATGAATAAGTGCAAGGAAGCTGCTTGCCCGCAAGGTTGACAGTTGCAGTTGCCCCCTTCAGGTAAATGATGATCGAGGTAGACTACAGCTAGTCCCACAATCTCTAGTCCCACAATCTCTAACATAAACAACGACTGCTAGCAACTGAATGCTATTGATTATGCGTGTGTTAATCCAGTTCGTATACTTTCCGCGGCAACAATCGTCTGTCGCCATTACCATTGCCATCGCCACCCGATCCCTGTTGAGCCGTGCTTGGGCCTCACGATCAAAGCCACAGTTGGCACGGGCAAAGCCAACTCGTTGACGTTCCAAATCGTACAATACATCGTAATTATACATGAAATTGGCACCCAACACGGCTCCTTCGTTTTCTTCCATATACAGGCGGATTGTCAGTTTTCGTTTGCCCGTCCAGGGTTGCACTACATCGGGTTTAGTCGCATTCAAGTCCATCGGAACACCTTCCATGTACGAACATGGATGGGCGTGTATTGTCGCGTTCGGGTTAAAGACGACTGTGATAATCGGCATGCGCAAGAACTCTTCATATGTATAATCTCGTTTGGGTTCGAGCCTGGATCCCACCTTTTCTTCCCAAACCTTTTCAAAAATCTGTTCGGCGGCTCGAGCACTATCCAACAAGGTCCCCTTGCCAGAACCAAAGACTGTTAAGATTTGTTCATGTTGTTCGTTGGTGAGGCGATCTGGAGTATCATCGCAGGTCATGCAATAATCACCAATATAGACTTGGTACACATCCAAGGCGTAGAGACCATGGTCTTGTGTGAGTTTGGAAAAGTACATTTGTCCCAAGTGATATTGTTCCGGATTCTTGAGTGCTTTGACATCTGGTCTCGCCAGACCGCTTCCACCAAAAGACAATGTACCGCCGGTTTGTGACAAGCACATGGCAAAGGCCGCACGGTTGATGGCACCGGCTTGTATCATTGATTGGAGAAGAGAGTTTTTGTCCATTTGTTTGCCCATTCCCAGAATGCCATCACTGTACTGCAACGACAATTTTAAAACAGAGGGAAAGTGGGAGTTCATTAGATTTCAGACACGGATACATCATTGTATGAAGCGGTATACAAACATGTTCTGCTGTCATAACTTACCTGATGAACAAAGAATCCTGTAACATGGTTCTGACACCCAAACGTAAAGGGAATGGCCAAGTGAGGCATATATTCTTCAATGCTTTCCTCTTGATCGGCAGTTGCCAACCAGACCATATCTTCCACTTCCTTGGCTTTCCAACTGGATCCTTCCAAATAGGTTTGTTCAAAGGTACAAGAAGAGTCATCCGGAACAGCATTTTTCTTCTTGGCCTTGGCAAAGATACAGTTGGGGTGATAATTAGCTAATTGTCGCGATGGGTAGTCTAGTGGAGGGAGTGTCGTTAAAGTAAAATGTGGATGCATGACGACCGCATTCCGGACAGGGGTCGCAGGGGAATGCCATGTACCGAGATCCCGTATCCAAGATCAGAATTTGTCGTTGTGGCATGGGAGATCCAATCCAATCCATGCGTATACATGATGGGAGCTGAGCCAGATTCGTAGTGCATGGGAATGGTCATACTAGCTTGGGGTACCATCTCGGGTTTCTTCTTTTTTTTGATTGTGCGAAGATTATTCGAGTCGTCTGCTTCCACACCCCAAAGAATGACACTGTTGTTACCTTGTATTATCCTCTGTGGACCATGATACCAGCAAGACAAAGACAAGCAGAAGAACACGGCTCTTGGAGAGGTCGGGTGGGTATCGTGATCGTCTTTGTCTTCTGCGACCAATCTCAATGCCAAACTTCTGGGGCTCTTCTATTCGATTTCTTCCCACCATTTTCCTGCAACACTTGGATGGACTGGAGTTGCTGAGTAATTATTAGGTTACTTCAGCAAAAGCAGAGTCCACATGGACAGCTCGGTCAAATTGGTCGCCGTGCGAAGCACCATGCCATGGTCGACGCGTGAAAGATTGCGATGACAACCCAAATCCGGAAGCACACTTACTCTACCGTACAGTAGATGTACCTGTTAGTTGGAGTCCAAAACCAGTCACAAAGAAGAAAGCTTTTTGGGCAGGTAGGATAGGTAAATATAGAACTAAGGGTAATTTTCAATTGCCATAATTCTAAAAGAAGTTGTAATTTACTTTATCTTCCTGAAACCAAAAAGATTTCTTCTCCCTCCGACGGTTAACAGCGGCTTTAGCCGCTGTGACGTGGCAATACCAGATCGTTACTCTCATGCACGCACGCACACATTTTTCAATCCACCAGGCATCCCACCAGAATGCGGACCCTCCCCGCTGGGGTTGGAACACCACTATACGAAGCTACTGTACTTCGGGGGTACTTCTTTTTCCACACTATCTTTGTTTTTTAATAGCTAGTGTACGATTTTTTATTCGCTGAAACTACTTTTCTTACTAACTATTCTTCTTTAGGCGACTACACAAGATGACCCTGTACATCGCACGACATTTTTTCTTTTTTCACCTCACTTTTTCCGGTCGTATTCCTTTTTTCAAAACACTACAGTTGCCTTCAAAGGCAACACAAATATCATTCGTTTGTCTTCTTTCTTCGACTACTCAATGTAGAGATCCACGAGACTGGCAATAATAGCAGCCACACAGTTCTCAACTGGAGAAGGGGCATCTTTCTTTTTACTCGCCTTGACATCAACAAAGTAGTACAAGAGAGTACTATCCTGTGCCAAAGTGCTTTTGGTCATTGCCACAAGAAGTTTCAAAGCAGGGACTTTCATGGCTTGGATCAGACGACGACGACTGCATCGCTCTCCAGCCTTGAGCATCAGAGGGGGAATTCTGTAGTCTGGTTGGGTACCTTCAAGTAGAGCAGAATGGATCCCAGCGGCTCCAGCTGTACCGTTGGCTCTGGCCATGAACATACTGTCGGACGTCCAATACTCTGGGAAGTCTCCAACTTTCCGGTTCGCTCCTTCAGACTTAGAGCGCCTTGGTGTTGCTTTCATAGCTTTGGTAGCTTTCTTCTTCTTTTTCGCATCTGTGACCATTTTACGTGCTTTCGATTCGGCCTCTTTCTTCTTCCACTCTTTCTTCTTTGCGTGAAGGTAGTTCGTTGGAGCTTGGTTCTCTTTGTAGCCATTGTAGGTGGGAGCTTTACTGTACTGTTTGAACTTGTCTTTCAGCTTCCATCCTGCTTGGTGGGCACGGCGAGATTCTTTGATCTCGCCTAAATAGACCGTCCTCCCGTAAGGCCCAAGCTTCTGGAACCTTTCTTGTTCCTCTTCCGTCAGCTCAATGGAGTCGTCCGATTCTTCGCTTTCGCTGGAGGACGATGATGATGAGTACACCTGGACTGGACGTTTGGACATACGTCGCGTCCTACCTGCTGGCTTGAGGGTGTTACAGCCCTTGGCTGTAGCAGCACGGACAGTAGACCGACTGGCATTTGCAGAAGACGGGGTTTTCATTGCAGGCGGTGCACCAGGGTAGTTGGCATTGGCAGCAGTCTGGACAGAAATCCTGGAGGCTGCAGTGGCACTGGGTGCAGTATGGCCAGACGTCTGGTGACTCGCAGCATCTAAAAAAGAGCAACCAGGTGGTGGGGGTGGGGGTGGCATTCTATATTCTTTCAATGACTCGCGGACTGCAGCCCTGGATTTTTCTTTAATAGCCTCGAGATATCGGTCTTCGTAGTCAGCTCCAGCGGCAACAAGGGTGTTTCCGTTCCTGTAGTAGACCGTCTTCTCTTCCATTTTAACTCCTGACTTCACGGCTTCCGGCTTTCGATCGTCCTCCTGGAAAGAGAATGGCTTTTCATCATCGCTATCACTGTCAACAGACAGAATAACAGCGTCTTCTGGAATGGGCTTCTTCACACGTGCTGCGACACGGGAAGCTGTCCCATTCTGGATGTATCCAGCGCCTTGAGGAACGGATGAACGCTTTGTGGGGGGGCTTCCAGAGGACTTCGAAATGGGGGACTTAACTGCGGCTTTCGCGGCTGGCAACTTCCTCTTCTGATCACTGTTGTCCCCCTTTTTTTGGTCCTTTTCATCTGTCATCTTCAGACTGTTATCGCCAACTGCATGGAAAAGGTGTTCCACAACAGCAGGGGAGAACCGAGTGCACTTCATGGGCGACTGTAAAGAGCAACAACAACACAGTGAAATGGTGGAACAAAGAGGACGTCTGGGGGGGTTTCTCCAGATGGAAAGGAAAACGGGGTGACTTACTGTCATGACACCTGTGGGTGACTGATAATCCCCTTTCAAGAACGCTGCAGGGGGGGTGCTGTTCTTTTTGTCGCAGCTGGCCAGGTACTCAGCTATTAGTTCGTCGGCAGCTTCGATTGCTTCGGGTGGTAGATCACCGAAATCGTCAATCTGCGAGGCACTCTCCTCCATTGTCGAGGACGAGCCACGGCAGTGGCAGACTGATCGAAAAAGAACGTTTTATTTTCAGAGCTACCTATTTTATGCCTCCATCCTGTTCGCCATCTAGTTCAAATGACAGGACCACAACAGACAACAGGGAAACAAGAAAATGCCGTCATTGGAGAGACAAAAATGAGGCGAAATTGGCCAGATGCCTATCAACCGACAGGTGGGGGCAGTCATTGGGGATGGCCTGGAGGCAGACTGGTATGATACATAGAGAGATTGGCATGTCAGGATTGCTAACTAATCTTAATGAATGAATTTGTAAATTTCCATTCTTAGGGGCTGGCATCCTTCGTGCTGGCTGGATTTTCCATACACTGCAGAGCCAGTGCGACCTCTGTGACAGATAGATAGAGCATAGGAATGCTCCGAATAGAGGGACGCAGCGCGGGGAGGTACTTTGCCTGGCTCCCATTGCGAGCGGTGTCATTTTGCTGGGACGAGTGACGGCGTCTTCTTTTTTCCTTGAAGATATGGCTGTGACATTCGTGGGAGAAAACCAGCGAGGATACCCAAGGGCAGGGGCACAATCAAAACTATGCCTCGCGGACACCAGGGTCGGCTGAGGAAGGCAAAGGCCTTCGCCAAGAAGCTACTGAGAGAGCTCAAAGGAGACGCCCTACCATCACCTGCGCAAGTGGAAAGTGAACGAGGGAGTGAGACTGGAGATGGCAACGTACAAGTACATCTTGGGCCACCGGTACCAACTGCAAGCCAGGGTCGTAATGAGCCCGAAAGTGACAGTGACGGAAAAGATGAGCTGTGCCCCAAACCTAAACGAGCCAGGAAAAAATACGCGAAATGCGACAGGTTCAGTGCACGAAAAAAGAAGGTACGGGACATCTGGACAGATGTATTCGAAGGAAAGCCTACTCTGGCGGAGTTGAACGAAGTAGTCAGCGACGAGAACAAGGCCATTCAGTTCCTGGCATCGAAAGGGGCGATAACGATCCCAACTATATGTGGGCGATGCAACAGTGGGGTGACGCCTGACTGGAAAAGACACCAGTCAAGATGTCAGAAGGCGAATTGCGTATGGAAGCCACCAACGGAATGTGAGATCTGCCCCTGCAAGGACATGCAGACAGTGCCTGTGAGCACGGTCGACGAGGGAAAACAGTGTCAGAACGCAGAATGTGGTTGGACATGGTCTCCTGGCAAGCCGTGGACCTGTTCCTTCTTCCGGAAGAGCTTTCTGAGCGACTGCAGACTACCAAAAAATGAAGTGCTCCTTCTCCTGTACTTGTGGCTTACCAACGCGACGCATACGATGGTGTGCACCCTTCTGGGATGGAACAACGAAACAGCAACACGGTGGCTTAAGTGGTGCCGGAAAATGGCACAGGAGATAGTGGTGAGCCAACCACACGACAACAACATGATCGGTGGCAATGACATCATCGTGGAAATCGACGAGTCCAAGTTTGCCAAGAGGAAGTACCACAAAGGAAGACGTGTGAAAGGTAGCTGGGTACTCGGAATGGTGGAAAGAACACAACAACGTCGTATGGTGCTCCTTGTGGTCCCAGATCGAACGAAGAAGACGCTAGAGCATGCCATTATGACCTTTGTCCATCCAGGATCGACAATTCACACCGACATGTGGAAAGGGTACATCAGTCTGGATCGATTAGGATACGACCACAAAACTCTCTGCCATAAGTATGAGTTTGTCTCAGCAGAGGGAACGCACACCCAAACGATAGAAGGGAACTGGACACCTCTTAAACGAGCTATTCCGGTCCAGTGCAGGAGTGGTGTGGATCTGCAGGAATACCTATTTCAATTCATGTGGAGAAGAAAGAACGAGGGGCGTGAATGGGAGGCTCTGTGGGAAGGCCTAGCTCGTGTGCGCTTGACTGTCCAGGAATTGGAGCGGATGGACCAAGAGAGAGAGAGAGTTTGCGAGGATGACGACGAGGACTACGTGCCAATTGACGATGCCGAAGAGGCCGAAAAGGCCGAAGAAGAAGCTGTGGAGACCAACGACTACGACGACTTTGTTGCTTCCTTCGGGGATCTGGACTTGACACCAGTTGAAGACGGTGGCACCATGGAGAACGAGGCAGTGAACGATTCAGCAGAGACGGAGGAAGAACGACTACGGGAGGACATCGCATACGAGGTGATAGCAGAAATGTTGGAGGGAGGAGTAGTGGATCGGTCCATCTTCTACCATGACACAGGAGCGAGAGCGATTATTTAGGAAAATGTGAGAGGACAACACTTTTGGTACGTAGACAGTAGCCCTTAAATACAGTAAAAGAAAAATGTCGGTTTATGCACGATTTGCATTTACTTAGGGACGCTTTCGGTAGTTAGCCAGTTGTGTCAGCAAATGGCAAAAGAAGGGGCGATATCACCTGTAGGGCTAGTAAGGGATCCTACGCGATCCCGAAAAGCGATGTTTGCGAGAACGGCAACCAAATGCCAGTGGCAGAACCCTAAGTACCGACTGTGTCACTTTGGGGGACACTTCACTTAGCGACGAGAGTGGGACTAACCAGCGATTCTTTTTGCGAACTGGCGACATCGCCAACCAAGAAACATCGCCAAGAAAATCGACAAAACATCGCCTACAATCATCACTTTTTTCGCAAATTTGTGATGGTGTCGAATAGCCCACCTCGACTACTGAGCAGGCAAGAAATCTGGCAATTATACCCAACAACAACAAAGAATGATGATGGGGAACTGTGTGCGGTTCTTTTTTTATTCTTGTTTTTTTACGCTGTGTGGGCTTTTTTGTACAGGGGTGCGAGGCACTCACTGTACGGGGGCACTATGGAAAGAGACCAACTGGGGGTCGTGTTATCTCCGACACTTAAGTCCTACAAATCCAGAAGAGCAGCTTCCAGTCCCACCACGGAACCAAGATGACCAAAAAAGGAGGGGACGATGATCAATCCTGAGCGGGAGGGTCCACATTCTGCAAGGAGGGCCAGCTTTTTTGAAAAAGGTGAGATTGCGTGACAGCTTCTAAGTCTTTTTTGATCCGTGACTGACGTTCTTCTTCACTCACGGACGTTTCTTTGCTATGGTGACGTCACAGGATAGACAATCGGTGGTACCCCCCTCCGACTTCCGATGGGCGACATCATCCCAATCTTTTTGGCCGTTGTTTTTGTTTGGCGAGAAAATTCCGCCACACAACTGGTTTGCCACATACTTACTTTGTTTTCTTCCTTCCTTTCTCCTTGACGCCAAGTCTTCTCCTGCAAGCGAAAGAAACCATCAGTTTTAAAATTAAAAGATCAAGTAATCGGTAAAGAGCGAGAGATCTGGTGAAGTGGTTGTCTATCTATCTGGAGACTGACAGACAAGCTCTTGAAAAGGGGTATCCGATTGCTCAGGGTATCTTCTATCTTCTGTCCCTTCAGTAAGACGCAAGTCATCTCAAGTCAACTCAAGTCAGTTCATCTTCAGTCAGTCAGTCAGTCATCAATATAAGTATAAGATGTGTCGAGATACGTGCAGCAGTGGAATGACCAACCGGTCCCCCAAGAAGAAGCAGCAGCAGCAGCAGTACAGTAGTTCTACGTCATCCAACTCGACCCTCGCCACTTCAGCTTCCACGGCGACCTTGGATTCCCTGGATCCACCACCACCACCACAAGACGATTCTACAGCTGCCTTTTATCAATTTGACGTTGCCAATCTACCAGATACGCTGTTTCATTCTCATGTTCCCGTGGAAAAGTGGCTGGCTACCTGCACCACTACCAACAATACGAGTGGCTTTCCTCCCAATTCCTTGAATCAGATTCACCCTATCGAATGGGCCGTCGAATTGGAACGCATCGTGGGATTTACACTCTACCAATTCTTGAATGTCTTTCCCTTTATGATCCTGCCACTCCTTATTCTCTACTTTGGCGTAGCCACTCCCCTCGCTCGATGCGCCGTACTACTCGTACTGGCATACGTGGCTGTTCTGAGTTTCTTTACGGCCATACTAGAGCCCGTCTTTCTCCACAAGTACCAACAATCCAGATTCCTCTTGGCGGGCATGAAGGACGTTCATCGCAATCAGTATGTTTATACCGAACGCAACACTACCAAATATCTATCGGTCAAATTCGTGTGGCCCCAATCGGTTCATCGACCACAGTTGGAAGATACACCCGTACTCTTTTGCATTGTCCCCCATGGCGTTGTCAGTTGGGGCATTGCCGCCTATCCCCTCTGGAGCAAACTCTGGAATGACCGGATCTGTCGGTGGGCCATGGCTCCCGTCGTCCTAAAGATACCCATTGTCCGCTATCTGGCGCGCAAGGTGGGATACATTCCCGCCAAGGCACAACCCATTTTGGAAACGCTGACCAAACGACAGGAAAATGTGGGAGTGGTATTGGATGGCATTGCCGGAATGTTTCAGTTTCATACCCAACAAGAAACGGCATTTATACAACAACGCAAGGGCATTGTCAAGATTGCCCTCCGAGCGGGGGTTCCCATTGTTCCTGTTTATGGATTCGGACACACATCATTGTACACTGTCTGTGTCGATCCACTCGGTGTCTTGGAACGCGTGTCACAAAAACTGCAAGTTTCGCTGACGCCCTTTACCGGACGATGGGGATGGATTCTAGGACCTCCTCGTCGAGTGCCCGTCACGGTCGCGCTCGGTGATCCAGTGTTCTGTCCGCAAATTGCGGATCCGACACAGGAGGATATTGATACGTATCATGCGGAACTGCTAGACAAGTACCGGGTGTTGTTTGAAACGCACAAGACAGCCTACGGATGGCAACACAAGTCATTGAGGTTTGTATAAATACTAAAATACAAATACACACTTATAAATAAAAGCACCGCGGAAAAAAGATGGTGGCTACATCATCATGACTGGAGAGAAACCGAGAACAAACGATACTGCACAGCTATAAACCTGCGCGAGGAGGGGTTTCGGTTGCCAGTCAAGCAATAATCGATCAATCAATCACCAACGTCATCTCTACCTGTACGGTACGGACTCGTAGGCAACATATCACTTCCGGGTCGTCAGAGAGTGGTGGACACATCCATGCCAGAGCTTGGAAAAGACGTACATACGCAATACACGGTACTTACTAACGTACATAGACAATGCATTACTTTTTCTATAGAGCCGGTCTGTGTATGGAGGACCTTGCAATGTAACCTTCCGTTGACATTACGGCTACCGCTAGCTAGCTACCGTACGGTAGTTGTGCTAGCTAGTCACACCCATACCGGTAGATCAGAGAAACTATGCATCGATCAAGAGCTGCTGGTTTGGGTGTCTGCAGGAATGCATACTCCGGGCCCAAAAGCAGGACACATCCGCCTTTAGAAGGCGGCCTTGGTGTCGTTTGACTCGGGCATTGCAGTTTGGCTCGGGGCTATAAAGACTTTGTGTAGAGGTACTTTCTGCCACTGCCTGGCTCCCAGCTAAAGCTCGAGGATATATACATTTGTTATTAACACTATATTGCTGCTATTTCTGAGGCCTCACAACTTGAAAGAGTAAACATGATGTAAAAGAAATTCCAAGGTCTGTATACTCACGACTGCTCGCAGGGTTGGTTTGCACCCCAGTTCCTTCATCCCGGATTCCTCGTCATCAGATTCTTGGGATTCCTTCTCAATTGTGCTCTCTAGTTATGGGTAATGTTCAGTTCGTTTTTACAGTTTTCTTCGCATTCAATAGCAATGATGAGATTGTAGGCCCAAAAGTGAATGCAACACACAGGCAACCGCAACAAAGCACAATCATGGAGAACTTGAGGGTCAAAAAGTATTCCAACGACAGGAAACAAGCACCCAATAACAGGACAAGACCGAGGAGGGGTGCCTGGACCAAGAAGGGTAGTTTCAATGAATCCAAGTAATGGGCAAGTTTTGTGACAAAGACAATGTACACGGGCATCCCCTCTTGAGGATGACAAACTTGAAAACGACAATGCAGCCGAAACGGAGACAAGACCAAGTGGGCTACATCGTGGTGGGAAATTGCCATGATGTCACCCGCAAGCTGCAGATCTCGGTTGGACTGTGACTGAAGTGCAACATAGTTCGACGCCTGAACTCCATTCACGAAAATCTTCCCATTCTGAGTTAGAGGAGCATAAAGACCCTCCCGAGAAACGGTGCGAATCCTTCGGACTCTTACGGCACCATCGTTGTTTGCCTGCAGGACATCTCCAACTCGAACGGATCCAGCTCGGACGGGCTGTGATAAACCGTATAGATAAACAAGATGCTCGGAGGTGACCTCCAGCATTTGCTTATGCTCCAAGGAAAATTGCAAGAAATCAGCCTTGGATTTGCGTTCATAGTGAGCAAACGCATAGACGGGGTCATAGCGGCACGACGCGCCACTTTGGTGCTCTTCCGTCTTGACCATGTCGCCTATTTCAAGGTCTTTCATTGGAATGAGGCCCTTGTCGAGAGTCTCCACAAGTGATTCAGCAGAAAAGCATTCGTCAAGGAGACCGCCGCTACCACCGGCACCCCCCGAGCCGCTTGGTGTCGGAGTTGCAGTGGGGAACGTTGGCCCGGAATCTGTCGATCCGTCCGTAGGGGAGCCGGTTGTCGATCCGTCCGTAGGGGCACTGGTTGTCGATATGACACTAGGGGCACTGGTTGTCGATATGACACTAGGGGAACTGGTTGGTGCACTAGTGGGTCTGGCAGAGGGGGAACTGGTTGGTGTACTAGTGGGTCTGGCAGTAGGGGAGCTTGTTGGTGTACTAGTGGGCTGTCCTGTGGGAGGCGCCGTAGGCACAGCTGGGCAGATTGCAGCGTTTGGCTCCACCAATGTTGACTTAACGTTGGAATGACAAGAGCAAGGGGCAAGTCAGCAACGAAACAGTTCGCAACCTCCTTCTTCACCATTTGCAAAACGAATCTCAACCTACAAGTGTCGTCCAACCCAATATGTTGCCCTCGTTCAATACAGGAAAGTTGCTGCAATCTCTTGAGAATGTGACTATCCATGTCAGCTGAATTGGTTGGTCCATGGCATTGACGCCATTCAGAATTGCTTGCAGAGCCCTGGGAGCTACATCTGTTCGGTATGCTGAAATGGATGTGTAGATGAAGGAGTCACCATCCCGAAAGGCCCCGGAGAGGGGAACCTGCTGTATCACACCGAAGCTGCCATCCAGTTCAAAGATTTGAATACTTGTGATCAGGTTAGGTGCGAAGTCTGTAACATCCTCATCTGTTGCCTTGCTAACAATGCAAGCAGTATCCGTCACACCTCCCCCATTGCTTACAGTGTTGTCGTCACATTGGTTTTGGAAATCTAGCAAGAAAGTGTAGGCAGAAGGACTGCAAGCACAAATGTCAGATTCGCCATCAATTTGAAGATTTCTGCCTCCACGAAGAACTGCTGGATGGTCAATGGCCACAGCCGTGGCCAAGAGACCGGAAAGAAGGATGGAGGTCAACAGATGCATCATGTTTCGTTAGGCGATTCTAAAATTATGAGCTCAGTCTTCGCCCTTTCCTTGAAAGCGGAATGCTGCTGGGCAACCGCAAAGCCATTGCAAGAGCAGATAAATCTGGGAGCCTGGACAAAGGGCCCAAAAATACTAGTCTAGTAGCTGGCAGGCAGGCACTGGGGTTCCATATTGGTAATAAGTACCGGTACCAGTAGTTGAGAAGACTTAAATATTGCAGGACGAATGACGATTCGAGTCGTGGCTAAATCAGAATCCTAATCAATTTTTGGAGCCACCCTAATCAATTTTTGGAGCGGCTCCAAAAATTGATTAGGGTGGCTCCAAAAATTAATTAGGATTCTGATTTATCCATGACTCGAATCGAATCGTCATCGTCATTGCTTTGTTACGTACGTAGCCTTTGAATACCGTTCGCGGCCGCACTATCGTATTGCCTGGAAGAGCAACTGGCGGGAGCTTTGCACGACTGCGCCATAGAGATCGAGTGACAGTGGTTGCCCCACAGCCTTGGAGATCAAAGCAAAGGGCGGTTTAGAGGGTGGATTATCTACGGCAGGCTTTTAAAAGCAAAGAAGAGGCGAAATTCAGGACTACTAGAGGTTACGTGGGATCAGGGGTTTCGCTCCATATTGCTTGCGTCTACATGTAGCTAGGAAATAGCTGGCACGACCGTTCCTCCGATCTGTGACTGGAACTTGCGTGTTGGCTTTGTTACGTAGCCTTTGAATACCGTTCGCGGCGCAAAAGAGATATGCTACTGGTGTGCGCTGTCGCCGCACGATCGATACCAGGTACAGTCGTACCAGGTACCAAGTCTCGTACGATGAGAGCAACTGGCGGGAGCTTTGCACGGCTGTCGCCTTTGAATCTGTGGAGCTGAGAATCGAGTCGTTGCCCCACCAGCCTTGGAGATTCGATTCATAGCAGCGAGAGCGAATAACGTTCTGACATCAACAACAAGGATAGAGCTTACTTTAGAAGTCAAAGACTCCAATTTCCCCTTGTAGACTACCAACCATCTGCTGGATTTGTTGCTGTACGGCTTTCACTGCAAGCCTTGTACGACTCTCGGAAGAGACGTTCATTCCACTTTCTGTAAATCATCCAATGATGCGACATGTGTGCAACCTCTGCTGCCTGGATCAAATGCTCAATCTGCAGAAGAGACAATGATCCATGAAGCCATGTTTGGGTGAGGCCTTCTCCCATCGACCATTCCTGAGGGCCCTGAGCTCTTTGTCGCCAAGATCTGTAGCCATGACACTGTTCACTACTAGTGCTCGGAACCCATGGACTTCCTCAGGGCCCTCGCAGATAGTGGCTCTCAAAGACGCAAAGCAATCCTTATTGAGCAAGACCATACCAATGTCAAAGGACTTCTGCTCTGCCACAGACCGATTCTGGTACTTTAGTGCAACAGTTTTGTTTGCCTATGCCATGGCAAGAAGAAGGGATTATTGTGATATCTAGTGGGCCTCTTGTTGGCTTTGAGGGACAGATGATGGGCGCGGGCGGTAGTCGATAATAGAGACCCGGTGGCGGTCTCTCTCGATCACTGTATTGGTATCGGTGAAAGTCCCTGGTTGTTCTCGGGCGTCTCTCGGCAATTCTTCCTTTGCCAACAGCTTCGGTACAAAGTACACTCCTACTGCAACAATTGTATCACAACTGTTCAAGATGCTTCGAACTTGATTCAGAGTTGCGGCCGACGCATAGTTTTCGAGAAACTTAAGTCCACTCTGAAAGCAGATGAACACAAAGTGCGAGTAAATCAGAAAAGCCAGCGTTTGGCTCTCATTGAAGTCCTTTCGTTTGATCTTTCTCGTTTGAAAGGCCAGGACCGAGGCGGATAGTAGGAGGATAATATTCCAAACCTGTACGACAACGGACCAGACCGATGTGTAGCCAGAGCAATAATAAGTCTTGGTCACCGTGGTGAAGCCGTCGTCGTCAGTGCTGGTGTCCTCTTGAACAGCCTCGTGCGGAGGTTCGACAGCGCTCCAGACTATCAAAAATATCACAACGAATCCCATGATCATTGCCACAGATCCAAACAGATACTCCCTCTTGAGCGTGATTCGTCTCATCTTTGCTGCCGCGGCCATCAATCTGTTTAAGGCCGCAATCTTAACAATCAAGGGCACAAGCTCAAGTGTATAGCCCACCTCGACAAACCAAATCGTAGCAATGCATGTTACGTCGGAAGGAGGAACTGCCAAGAGGATCGCGCCAGATGAAGTCAACAGTGACCCCGCAAGCAGAAGTCTCAAGAACTCAATCTGAGCAAAAGAGATCGCTTTCTTTGCCTTGTTCTTCTGGACTAGAACTGAAGTCACCAATACCACAGAGACAGCCAACCCCCCCAGGACAATCGCCGAGTAAGAAAGAGGCGTAAGGGGGTCTGTTTCGACCACTAGCTCTGGGATGTCGACAACGACATCAAGACTCAAGCCAGAGTCGCACTCAGCGGTTGCAAACACCGTTGTGAAGGCCTGGTCGCAAGATTGGACCATATTTTCGATATGCAAATGCTTTTTGGGGGATCCTGGCTTGATATTAGAGACCTTGATGACAACCGTGGCGCTCATGTTCCCATTGTACAGCCCAACCGTTGGAGGAACGCCGTTTGTGCCCGTTACGACTGTCAAGTTGGCGTCCGAAGGCCACATGGACACGTCGAGGCCTTGGTCATCTTCAAGAGAGGGTGTGACGAAAACTGCGCCACGCAATGGATGAGATCCAAGAGATATCTCAAAGGTTGATTGATAGTCGTTCTCCGGACTGAGAACAAGCGCATGAGGCTCGACTATTACAGTAGCATTTTCGTCAACATGTCGAGTGCCAGGAGGGAGTCCGGACACCCAACCTGGCACTGTCTGTTCTTCATCAGCATAATGGTCTGGGTTACAACACACGCTCTGTCGAAGCAGAAAGGCCGATGAGCTAACCCCGCAGATGCAACAGGTCACTTCATAGTATACATACAGCAAACACTACAGACTCACCTCCTGTCCGCTGCCATAGTCTTTAAAGAAAAAGCATTGAGGTTCCGCCTTTCCGATGCGATCATCATACGAAAAATATCGACAGCCTCGAGAGTTGCTGCAGTACTGTGCACATTCTTCAGCTCCTTCTGCCGCTTCTGACATAAAATCTGAACTTGGAAAAAGGACCTCCAAGACGGTTGGATCTATGAACCTGACAAATGGCAAATACGTGCTGTCAATGCCTGGTGCAGCCTTCACATTGACATACGTTGAATTACAAAACGTAAGTCCATTTTGGGGCGAGACCAGATCTCTATGTAGCCCAAGGCCACAGCACACGGACCCAAAGAAATCAGTAGACCGTGCAATGATGTTGCCTCCTGCAATCAACGGGACAGGCTCGTCTTCTTGGTCTTCAAATCGGACATGCTCAAGCTCGGGCAAGTCGTTCAAGCTGCCTTCCCCAAGGTGTATCATTTCCTTGGGAAGCCAAAGCTCTTTGAGGCTGCCTCCAATGCTAGCCAAGGACCCAGATCCCAGGAGCACCAAGTTGGGATTGACTCGCAGGTCCAGCGCCAGCGGTTGAAAAGTTTCATCGAACGTCTTGGGAACAATCACCAATTCTTTCCCCCTTGGACAATTTTAAAAAGACGCATGCCATTCTTGGGTGAGGCAAACAATTGTAAAGACACGCAAGAGCATGCAGCCACCATGATACTTTTTGAAAGTTACCTGCAATCGATCGTTCTATTGCTTTCATGGCAGTCGCACTTGTCACAAAAGTCACCCCGCTTCTCCACAGTGTCCATCCAATAGGCCTGATTCACTAGCTTCCTAATGGTACTGTAATCTCCCACAGGGTCCACTTCCAGCTTAATTGCGTCTTGTTGAAGGTGCGATGCCAAGAAGCAATCTCTCCCCGTGGACAACACATAGATGCATGTCTCATCCAGCTCACACACTTCACAGCACCGATCGCCGACAAATTCCTTTTTCCGGAAAACGGACGACAATCCATTAAAGGCAATGCCTTTCTCAAACTTGCAGAACGCGTTGGCCGTGTCATTGCTGTCAGCAATACTAGGGTTGTTGCTGTCAACCGTTGCAATGTTGCTAAAGGCTATGGAACCAGTCACATAACTCCATAGGTCACCATATTGATCAATCTAGTACCGTATATATGGAGATCGAAAACAGCAAGCAATGAGCTATATTGTGAGAATTTGTGTTGCTTGTGGAAGTGGAAAACCAAATAACTAACAATAACTCACATCAAATTCAAAGGTGTATCCCTTGAGCATTCCCGTGTCGAGTTGTGCGTTTCCTCGCGAACCACTCCAACCTGTCAACTTGAAAGGGGAGAAAAGATCCTCACTGCCCTCGAGTTGAATCGAAAGTTGTCTCGTGGCATTGTCCGCCCCAAGCACGTAATGAAAGCTATAGTATCGCTCATGGTCGCCTCCCGCCGTGTCGCAATGCTCCGTGCATTCGTATGCGTCATTCAAAATGAACCGTAAATGCGTCCGATTGGGATTGCTGACCGGAACGTTGACTTGGTACTCCATGGTCAGATAGGCGGCATTGCTGACATTGTAATACGCGGCCCCCGGAGCCACGTACGAAATGGCAAGAAATCCACCCCAATCCGCCGCATGTTCGACCAGGTAATCAATATCCAGTGTTCCATTATTATTTGCTTGCTGCATGAACTCGACAGAAGACTCTTGCAGAGAACGGTCTGAATTGAAGGCAGTAATTTCCCAACCCCCCTCCAATGTAACTGTTTTATTGAAATCGTCGGATGCATACAGAGCGGCGCCAAACAAAGCTTCACCGCCCACCAGGGCAAAGTGATCCATCTTTAATCTTCCCGAGCTTCCTCCCGTTGGCTCGATGCTCAACATAAAGCCACGAAGGCGGTGTAGATCTAGCTGATGATTGTTGTTGTTGTTGTTTCCTGTTGTAGTAGTGCTGTTCTGCTGGCCAAAATCCAAGACCGGCAACAGCACAAAATCCTCCAGATTTACTCGCACTTCCAGCCAGTCTTCCGTGTTGGCTTGCAATAGTATTTGATTCGTCGTTGTCCACTGTTCCCAGGTGGAAGGATCCACATTGTCATTACTGTTATTGTCATCCAACAAGGTCACCCGGACGCTCAGTGGGGCTGTGAGAGTTCCCGATCGTTCCTGTTGATACCAAAAGGATACTGTTGTGGCGCCCACACAAATGTGCGGTCGATTCTCCTGAATAAAGCTCAGACTCAGTGTTGGCGGCGACGAAGCAATGCCTTCGATAATGGTGGAGGAATCGTAATCCACTTGGAGCGCGCCACGTCCAATATACGAATTCTCCGTGTAGCTGACTTCAAAGTAGTCGTCGTCGTGAAATCCCAATTTACTGGTGCCATGCGGTGCGTGCCCCCCGTCAAAGGGTTCCAATACATAGCTCGTTTCTACAGGTACTGCCAAGGATGGTTGTATCAGGATTAGGAGCAGCAGCAGAGAAGCTGTTAACCACACAACAGGCGGCCGCATCATCGTCATGGTCGCAATATCACCAGAAATATAGCTGTCGACCATGTCGACCCTTCGACCCCTCTTTTGCAATAAATCTCACTTCTTTTCCGCGATGTAAAAATTAATACTTGTTCGTCCCGATGTGCGACTGATCGATTGCGTATTTCTCTAACCTTAAATACGTTTTAAGGGTCAGGTTTTGTCATCGACATTCACGGTCGGGACCAGGAAGGCACCAAGCCAATGTACGTACAGCATGCACACCACCAAGAAGGATCCTGCTGCTCAAGGGCAAAGAGTGGGACAAGTGTGGCATACTCACCCATCACTCCCAGATCTATGACTGGTTCTACCGTACCCCCTCAAGTTCCAGATCCTTTGAAAGCAAGATCATCAGGTCATAGTTAGTTCTGGGTACGGTAGACAATGAAACAACCTTGATACTGTAGTTGCTGGGATGATCACGAGTACTTGCAAGCTTTCCACACAGTCCCCAACTTGATCAGCAGAGATCCTCATTTCCGCCAAGTCAGGGGATGCCACAGCATTCCAGAATTCAAAGCCAGACTGGGCGTCATAGAAATAATTAGAAGGTCTACATCAGGCACACCAGATTCTTCAATAGTAGTAGGAATGGCTGTCCAACAGCACCTCTGACAGACAGAATGATCTGAAGTATATCCATGCCACAAGCAAAGTTAGCAGATTCCAACGAGGACTGTTACGTTTTACAGACTTGCTTCTAACCAGCAAGTTAACACGGCGTTTATAGCGATAAGAGTGCCAGCGCGCCGGCCTGTAGGCATTGATAGTCGCCATAGGCTGTGGGGGTCGAACCTCTGTGTAGTCCATGCTGGGAGACCCGTTGCAGTAACCAAGGGCTTTGGCTTCAGGAAGGTCCTGGGAGTTACAGATCCGGGTCTTGTTCCAGTCTGGCAGGAGACTCTTCAGGCAACCGCCATTGTAGAAACATCATTAGCTAGTACACAGCCTGTCTTTCCCACACAAGGATCACATTCCCAAGGCTATCTGCTCGCAGGCAACCAGTAGTTTGGCTTAGTAGAAGCTGATTCAGTCCCAACATCCACTATGGGATTGACTGCTACAGAAGATAAAGGATTCCCACTGAAGGCACCTGATCCAGGAGGAGCAATGTGCAGGTTTGAACCAAAGAAGAAACTAGATAGCCAACCTAAGCTCACAATTCAAATCTAAGCAAAGTTGTAAACCAAACTACTTTCTACTAGCTTATCAGGCGTGGTAGTTCTGCTTCAGCTAAAGCAAGCAGCGAATTGTCAGACAACAAAAGACAACAAAAGACCAGGTACAGTGGTACCACAAGACACAAGACACAGACAAAGACAAAATCAGTCCCACGTTTGGAGAACTGAAGAGAAGATATAAGAACATTGAATCCCATTTCCAAAGAAGGAAAGAGAACTACAAAGAAGACTTTTAAAAGAACATTGAATCCCATTTCTAAACTGAAGAGAATAGATCACAAATCAAGACAAAACCAAGACAAAACCAAAGACCTACCAGAAGACAACCAACAAGATGACAACTAAAGAAGATATAATGAAGTACGTACTAGACATCATTGATGTGGATGAAAGTGAAGCTGCTACCCTTGCTACTGCCGGTATCACCACTCCAAAGAGCCTGTTGAGGGCAAGCATGGAAAACCTTCGGAAGCTTTCGGCTGACAGCATCCTTACTCCCATCCAACTAGATGAACTATTGAGGTTCCGCCAATGGATGAAATCCAAGAAAGACAAGAATGAAACAATTCCAACATCCATCGATGAATGGAAAAATGACTTTACTGTGGCAGTTTTTGAAGCCTTTTGTGACCAAGAGCAGGTCCCGACGCCACCACAGGCACCAGCACCAACACTACCACAACTACAAGTACAACAACTCAACAGACAAGCACCACTACAAAGAAACTAATCAAGGTATCACTCCTTGATTTTCCAGTATTTAAAGGACGGCAAGAGGAATGGAGGGCTTTCAAGAAGGAAGTGGTGTCAACCATGGGACTTCTTCAACTATCCGACCTACTTACCATCAAGACAGATGCTGAAGTCCAAGCCCACCAATCCAAAATCAACAATGACCCTGAATACAAGACCAGAGTTAAGGAGTTCTTCTCCGTGCTATCCAAGAAGACGGCTAAGGTAGTGCCAGCTCTAAGGTAGACAAGCACATCGTCACCATGGACGGTGTCCTTGTGTGGAGAGACCTTTGTACCTACTATGACTTTGGGGGAGACAAGGAAGCTCAGGCAACGTCACTCCTAGGGGAGCTAACCAAGCGCAAGCTTTTATACAACAGCCCCGGTGGATTCGACATGTACTACAATGACTTTGATGTCAAGTGTCAAGAGTTAGATGAGATAGGGCACCCTCTGGCTGATACCCTCAAGAAGACTCTCTTCCTACAAGGCATATTGGACAGGGAATACAATGCTGTCATTGACCATTGCCAGAAAGAGTCTTATGCTACCACTATTGACCTATTGAGGGCAAAGGCTCGTAGCCTCGGTAGGGCCGCCGACCGGGCTCGCCGAGTGTCCAACTACCAGAGCAACTACAAAGCCCGAAGGGGACCAAAGCAGGACGAAAATGATGAAGATATATATGACAATCCCAGCACCTTCCCAGATCACGTTTGGGAACAGATGACCGAGGCAAATCAGAAATGGATCATGGACCACCAGGACAAAGACAAAGAGCAACCAAAGGACTATGGAAAACAGTACTCCGGGAAGAAAGGGGAGACAAATCAATACAAGGCAGCCATCCCAGAGACAGACATGAAGCAGCTCAAGGAACAGCTCAAGCAAGAACTAAAAGATGAACTCAATGCCACTACCGAAAAGAATAAAAAGGTAACTATCGTTGACGAGAATCCAGATGACAAGCCTCAGTCAATCTGGCGCACACCAAAGAACAAGAAGTAAGTATGAACGGGGAACCAATATGGTCCCTTTGTGCCGTGTATATGTGAAATTTGGATCCAGGAACTGCATCAAGGGGAGTAGTAGAGCTGATTCAGTCCCAACATCCACTATGGGATTGACTGCTACAGAAGATAAAGGATTCCCACTGAAGGCACCTGATCAGGAGGAGCAATGTGCAGGTTTGAACCAAAGAAGAAACTAGATAGCCAACCTAAGCTCACAATTCAAATCTAAGCAAAGTTGTAAACCAAACTACTTTCTACTAGGCTGCAAGGAGCGAACAAAGGAAGCCCCTATACTTGGCCAACCAACCCATGGCAAGAGTAGCAGCAAAGTAGACATCAAAATCATGGTGATCTTTTCGAAAGGTACGGTAATATCAAGGATCAGGTGTCGATACTGTACTGGATTTTTTGTGAGGCTCAGGCTGATCGGAGGCTGTATTGTGTGCTGGTGGTGGTGTTTGGTGTTTGCTGGTTGTGGCATTCGCTTCGGTCTGAAAAGTGCACTGTACGTAGCTAGTCTACATAGTACAGTTCGATTTGCCTTACCTCCTTTTGATAAAAGGACTGGAGTACTGTTCAGTGAACATAATTTTTACATTCTTTCCCGAATTTGCGTTAATTATTGCATTGAAGTACTCTCCAGAAGCATCAAGAACGGGTTCTTCCCATTGCTCACCAATCACTGTACCTCGAGGATCACAATTGAGACCTCTTGGTTCTTTGTTTACACTCCCAAACTTCAGCAGCAACGCAGCCACCAAACGATCTTCCACACCAACCGTCATGATTCTGCTGCGGCAAGTTAACCCAAAGTTGTTCGCATGACAACAGAACCTGTCGATGCCGGGCTTCAAAAGATTCTACCGGTACGGTACCACATTAGTTTTCTGTTTTCTGTTTTCTGTTGCGCCCAAGAACCTCTCGATCTCTCGATCGCGACGAGCTGTTCGAAGTCGTAGTGTAGGAAGGACCGAAAAGCTCTCCGAAACCAACATTCCTTCTTTTTTTTTAAAGGCTGATGGTGTTCCTAGGGAAACAGCCAACACTGTCTTCTCGTCAACACTGCATTCGACAGACTACTAAACGACTAGGGGGGAAAGAAGTTCACCTGCCGATCGTAGGGAACAGCTTCTGACGCATTGGCCTTGTTGAGGTATGTCATGGTCCCACTATGGTGGGAAAACTAGACTGCTCCGATGGCGCTTAACTCTTCGCTAACCTTTAGAAAGGCAAAGGTTGCATTAGAGTGCACGTACCGTTGGAGATTGTCCATGGTGGTGCCAGTCAAAACCGCCGACAAAGCTCCTGACTTTCCTTCTTGCGGCGGATTGTGCGGGCTTTCGTCACGGTGGCTAATGTCTCGCCCTCTTAACGTCGATCTGCAGTTGCCGGTTGCTCGACAATCGACAAGTCGAGAGGAGCCATGCCAACTCCGGACGGCTTCTACCTGCTTGCTTGAGCTTCGACTCGTCTTCTAACCGTTGGCTGTGAGCCGCTGATTGCCGTGCACCAGTTCCCTTGAGTTCTGTCTGCCTTGGACTGTCACTCGAAATATTTTAGACATCAAACTGGGCATGACCAGCGTGGTCCACAATCCACGGCAACCATACGAGGTGACCAATAACCAACAATTTTAAAAGAAACATCTTGGATGGACAGATACTCTCGCGCGAACTCGAGTTGCGCCACTGTTGGTGATGCTCCTGTAGGGGTCCAGCTATAGCTATCTGCAGAGAGAGACAACTCGATCCCATGAACATGGCTTGCTAGCAAGTGCCAGCGCCAGTACGCTACATCGGTATCTAAATGAGTGAATAGCAGAGATCTACTTTCTTCTCTCTAACTGGCTGGGCTCAACTTTCGATAAAGCATCATGAAGAGATGAAAGAAAGTGTCTACATATTTGTTTATGGAGTATGATTGGGCAGGAGAGCATCCTTGCCCCATGACCTTAAAGATCATAGTTTGAAAAGAATCTCACACCTCAACCAACTCATCAGCAGGCACTGCCTGTTCTTGCATGTATTCCTGTTCCACCTTCGCCAGCATTTCAGCTGTAATGGCCTCTCCTTCCTTGACCCACATGTTGCGGTTGCTTGTAGCATAGTTGAGATTCTCGGCACTAGTGGGACCAAAGACACCACAATCGCTCAGCTTCTGGCACAGAGGAATGACTATAGGCGCAAGCAACAATCTGAGGGAGAGGCCTACACAAAAAAGAAACAGGATCCCTCCTAACAACAAGCATAAAACTTACTGTAGAAGTCAAAGAATCCAATGTCGCCCTTGTACCAACCATCTGCTGGATTTGTTGCTGCACGGCCTTCTCTGTAAGCCTTGTATGTCTCTCGGAAGAGTCGCTCATTCCACTTTCTGTAAATCTTCCAATGCTGCGACATGTGTGCAACATCGGCTGCCTGGATCAAGTGCTCAATCTGTTGCAGGGAGATACCACAACAAGAAAGCATGATGAGACAACATGAATATGTCAAGTCAATCCATGCCAGCTACACAAACAGCATACTCACGACAATGGTGGTTTTCCGATTGATAGCTTCTTGCTTCTCGTGCCCTGGTTTCTGGTACTCTTCATCCACAGAATTCGATGATGAAACAGTTGAGCTGACATCGGTACTGGTATCACTATTGGCAAAGGCTTTCTCCCAATGTCCATTCCTGAGGGCCTTGAGCTCTTTGTCCCCAAGATCTGTTGCCATGACACTGTTCACCACTAATGCTCGGAATCGCTGGACTTCCTCAGGGCCCGCACATATAGTGGCTCTCAACGAGGCAAAGCGATCCTCGTTGAGCAAGGCCATACCAATGTCAAGGGACTTTTGCTCTGCCACGGACCGATTCTGGTACTTTAGTGCAACAGTTTTGTTTTCCTATGTCATGGCAAGCCAAGAAGGGAATATTGTTAGGGAAGGCCCCACATTGACCATAGGACAAGCCAACATGACTTACTTTGATGAGCTGGGAGTTTGGGACACCCGGATGGTCAACTAGTAGTTTTGAATAAGCCAGGAGATGAAGGTGTTAGAGCAGTGACCTTTCTTGTCAGTTCCGTGCAACTCTGCATGCAGACAACATACCATCATGAATGAGAGCTGAAAAGACACAGGCAAAGTGGGTAAGGGGATCGGAGGTGATCCCATAAGTATGGTCCTTTGAACATGGAACGAAGAGATGTTAGCGAGAGCCTTGCATATTAGCATCAACTCCTTCAAACTTTTGGCTGGCGACCAATGAAACTTACATGGAGCGCTGCCTGGATGCTGCTCCTTAAACGATCCTCAGTATTTCCCAAGTCAACCTCTGTAGCAGCAATGATGCGATGGAGGTACTTTGAAATGGCCATAACAACATAGCTTGCATGTGCTATGTTGGGAGGAGAACAGCAGACAAATGTCATGAGCCATGGATTCAATTTTGCGGTGGCATGCAAGTCAGAATGACCAACAAAACTTACAAAAGTTATGAAAAGGGTTGTCATTGTAAAGATCTGAAATCTCAGTGATGATCTGCCTGAGTTGTCTTACAACTTCTTCAGGAACTTCAGCATTCATGTGCTCACGTTGCCGCCTTGCAGCTTTTCTGTCAAACTTCGGAAGTTCAATTATCTCCTTGACTTCCACCAGGGGCATTGTGGGAAGAGGACAAAGGTTTAAATCAAAGCCGGGACTGGAACCTTTGCTCAATGCTGCTTTTCTTGCCACTATTTGCTTGAGGAGTCCTGTGAATACTTCCACATTCCACTCGATGTGGCATTCCTGGGATGCAAGGTCACCATCGTCACCCTCCGAATCACTGTCACCAACACCAATGGTCATAAGTGCATTGCTAGTAAAACTAGTAAACTCATGGCGTTCCATGTATTTCATGCCAGACCCGAGGCCACCTATGACTAACCAGAATGTCTTCATGTCGCCCTTCTCAATGGTTTCCACCTTGTCTTCTCGCTCCAAGACCCATCTTTTCTTCCCAGCCTTCACCAGCAAAGCAGCTGTCTCCTCCGACAAGTGAACTCCTCCACTGGTGCTGCATTTCTGAATCAGAATTGCAGTAGAAACTGTATCACCAAAGAGCTGGAAGCGACTACCTTTGCCCTTCAGAAATCCACCAGTTACTGGACCACTGTGTGTTGGGCAAATGAGCAAGAAAGCTTACGTAAGCTCACGTCTCAACCTCCATATTCTTTTGCAGCCATGTGCACACATGAGAACAAACCTGTGTAAACCTGCTTGAAGTGACATGTCTGAGGTGTCTGGTCCAAATTGAATCTCAAGTTTTCTCAAGTACTTGGGCATCTTCTTCATGTACTGGTAGACGAATCGTGACATAAGAACTGCATGGTCTGACTGAGGCTTCGGTACACCTGTTGCTACGACTGAGCAGAAGCAAAGTCAGACTCAGTCAGTGATGGCAACAGTGAAGAATCTCAACAACCTGAACAAGCTCATACCATAAGATTCCCGGACTGTTTCAACTTTGTACACCCCATTATCTTCAGCAATCTTATCAAAGTTCTGGAAAAGCTGTTCAAGGAACTAAAGGTGGTTGAAGTGCTGTCAGAACAAGACATGAGGCCACTATTGCATCAATCTCCAGCATCACCTACCTGGAAAACCTGTACGGGCTCCCTGACAGAACACCATGCTGTGAAACCCACAATATCGAGAAGAGCCACGGTGGTGTGAACAAACACATCTGGCAAAGGGTCAGCCTCAAGCTTCTCCCCGCTGTCACAGAACTTGGGGAGCATGTAGATTATTATGGATGCAATAGTGTCAAGACTGACCAGAAGGCTCCAGTATCCCATCAGGTCAGATCTGTTGTCCTGAGCCAAAACTCCTGCAGAGACCATCAGAATGAGAAACAAGACTCTGATGAACAGCACTGCAGCAAGATTCCTTGTATCATTCAAATCTTCCTTCACCCGCAATGCCAGCAAGGCAATCAGGCAGGCTGGGAGCAAGATCACAGCCTTCCAGCCAAAGTGAATATAATACCAAAACTGATTTTCAGACCAGCAGTAGTCATAGACATGAACAATGGTCTCCCCATTTGGGGTTTCAAAGTCAGTCATTTCGTACTGCAGCTGTTCTTGTGGTGGATCAACCAGTGTCCATACAATCAAGAACACGACCAAAAGTGCTGCAGTTGCTGCAACAGAACCATACAACATCCAGATGTTTAATCGGACTCGCTGCATTTGCTTGCCAGAGGCAGCCAGTTGGTTGATTGCCAATATACGGATTAACAAAGGAATGAGCTGAAGGACGTATCCAAGACTTGCTATCCAGTTGGTGACTCCACAAGTTGCACTTGAAGGGCTCAGAGCTAATGTAACAGCACTGCCAATGGAAAGAAGCATTCCGATCTGAATAAGAAACAGAAACTCTGACTGGACAAAGTAGAGCGCCTTTGTCTTTCTCTTGGTGTATGTGAGCCACATGGATATGAACACTAGAACAGCAGCCGCAACACATCTAAGAAGCGCATAATGGGGTCTCGCGAAAACAGCGAGGTCTGGAAGGTACCGAACGACATGCGTCCCTAGGCGATTGGTGACGTCATTGCTCCCGGATTTGGATGGTGTTTGTT